CGGCGCGGGCAAGATCGACGCGTCGAAGTACAAGGACCGCCAGCTCGTCTCCTACTTCAACACGCGCGACAAGGCCGTCGTCTGGCACACCGCCTTCGCCAAGCCCGTCACGGTCGAGGTCCTGCAGCGGCGGGACGCCATGAAGACGAGCAACTCCGTGGCCATCGCGAAGGTCGCGGGCTTGCTACGGCAGCTCGAGCTCCGCGAGCCCGGCCTGGGCGGCCCCGCCCGGTACACGACCCTGCTGGAGCAGATGTGGGCCTGCTCGCGCGGCCGGAACGTCGAGGACAAGGCCGTCGCGCCCGAGGAGAACGCGGAGCAGTACAAGACCGTCGTCGACTTCCTCTCCTCCTGGAAGGCCGAGTGCCTGACCCGGGAGCCCCTGCCCCGGACGGACCGCCCCCGGGGCGGGCTCACGATGGAGCAGTTCTCCTTCTGGCCGCTGAACTACGAGGCTCTCAAGGACCACATCGACTTGGCGAAATCGAACGCGTACTCCGACAGCCTGCGGCCCGACCTGCCGACGTCCGGCGTGAACGAGACGCCGGTCCACGAGGAGCTCCGCCGCTGCTGCCCGGGCATGCGCATCGACGACGTGGCGCGCAATTCCGCCAAGGTCGTCAACGGCATCGGCCTCGCGGCCGACATGGCGCGCACTTGGGTCACCGTGAACGGCGGCACGTACATGGCGGCCGTGAACCAGTCCTTCGAGGTGCGGAGCGCGGCCATCGACGCCATGGACGCCAGCCGCGAGCGTACCTTTAGCCTCACTCGCAACGAGGCCGAGGGCCGCACCAAGAAGAAGAAGGAGAAGGCCGCGGCCGCCGCGGCGACGACGACCGCGCCCGTCGGGCCGCCGCCGCCGCCCCTCTTAGCGACGGCTCCGGCGCCGGCGCCGGCTCCGGCGGCCGCGTCGGTGGCGCCAGCCGTGCAGCTGGCGCACATGAAAGCGGTCGCCGAAGCGACGGCCCTCGAGCTCGAGCGCAACCGCGTCGGCCGCGACAAGTTCGCCTCGGGCAAATTCGGCGCCACGAAGTCGGCCCGATGCACCGCTCTCGAGCGGCGCCTGGAGTCGCCGCAGGAGTGGCTCGACGAGAACTCCAAGGGCAACTTCAGCAAGTTCGAGATCAGCGCGCTGGTGGTCCTCGAGCACGGCTCGAAGGCCGGCGCCGCACGCTTCGTCGAGGGCCGGGACCGCGCGATCGCCGTCGGCAGCACGTACGGCGGCAAGGGCATGAACTTCCAGGCCTTGCCCCGGTCCGGCGTCAAGTTCCAGTACCCGATCGCCTACGCCAACGTCGTCGCCGCCTGCTTCGGCAAGGCCTCCATGTTCGTCGACGGCCAGGCGACGACGAAGAAGAGCCACAGCGGCGTGGCCGTCGTCACGCTCCTCCTCGCGCACCAGGCCAAGCTCCAGGTCATCTCCTTCCAGCTCTCCAAGCACGAGGAGGACAAGAATCTGTGCAAGATGCTGATGAACCAGAAGGACGGCATCGCGAAGATGGTCCCCGCGAAGCACGCCGAGGGCGACTCGGTCTCGGTGCACACGGCGGCTTTGGTGGGCATGTTCCGCCGCGGCGGCGACGACCCGAACCACGCGCCGCTCGATCTCGCGCGGCAGCTGGGCGACGGGTGGGAGACGATGACGCCGAGCAACGCCTTGGCCTTCTCCGCGGGCATGAAGCGCATATCGGACGACTTGGGCGCGTTCGACGCGCCGACGCTCGCCGGCTTGATGGCGAAGGCGCCGCCGCAGCTCACCTTGGGCGGGCTCTTCGGTCCCGCGAGCGGCAGCATGACGGCGGCGGCGCCGGCCCGGGAGATCAACCTCTGGGTGGAGCACTGGGAGGCCGACGCGCTCATCGACGGCGGCGACGCGGCGAAGCAGCGCTTCTGGGACAAGTTCGTCGGGGCCAAGATGTTGGACGACGACGAGGGCGAGCTCTTCGAGGCAGACATCGTCGGGATCTCGTGGTACGAGGGCCAGTGGGTCGCCGACGTCGACGCGAACGGGAAGGCGGTCCAGTGCGGGCTCGGCGACCTCTGGAAGTACGTCCGCAACGTCCCCGAGCAGCCCGACGGCATCGTTCTTGTCGATGGCGCGGCCCTGGGCTTTGAGGAGGACGACGACGACGTCGTCGCCGTCGGCGACAGTGCCCTCGGCGCTGTGGAAGGCGACGCGAACGACTCCTCGGACGACGACGACGACGG